ATATCAGGAATGTCAAAGGCCGCAAGCAGATCATCAAAGTCTGGGGTTTTCATGTCACCCATGGTCTTATGAGAATGAGCTAAACACCTTTGAGAAACAAGGGAAATACATTCCATATCACAATTAGAAAAGTACAAAAAACTTCCTGATTAGACTGTAATGAAAGGACAGCAGCAAGACGTGCTTAAAGCCTATTCAAAATGATTAGATTTAAGACAAGAAAGATAATATTGACAATAGAAATGAACTACACAATACATAAAATATATAAATCCATTGTTAAATGTCTTCAAGGCATTACAATATTTCAAAAGCTGCACCAAAATGCAGAAACTGCAACTTTTATACTATCATGCTTAAAAAATTCTGTCAAACGGGCAGCATTTTTAATGAAATTCCAGATTTCAACTCTTAAAATGCAACTGATATAATCTGACTGCTTGTCCTTTTTCATCCTCACTGATCTCCAACAAGCCTTCATGGTTTAATCTTCTCATTAAATAAGATCAAAATTCACTTCACATAAGATTCAAACATGTTTTAAAAATGCTATTCAGAGATGTAGAAACCTCTTTATGTGAATGACTAATGTGTGCTATATTTAAACCTGCCTGTAGGTACCATAAAAAGCACCTCTCACCGGAGACACAATTTTAGTCAGTTAAATGCATGTAAATAAAAATGGAAATGTGAACTATTTAGACATGGCATACTGTAAATAGTCTACCAGTAAATACATCTGTATATAGAAGGCTCTGAAAATGGTAAGAATGGCCCAAATACAACATGTAGAACATAAACTAAACCTTAAAAAGGAGAGAAACAGAAAACTGTATCTTTGCAACCAAATTTGATGTACAGCGCTATAAAAACGTATTTGTTTTCCCCAAAGGAAGTCAAAATGCTGAATTGATTAAGCCTGAGCATGTTTTGCATTTTTTTTGTTAATAAAATGTTATTAAATGTATTAATTTGTGAATTCATCAATACTGCAAAAAAGTAACAAATAACAAATAAATATACATTTCGTAAAAAAATTATAATTTCCCCCTGAATAATTTATTTTTGAGTTTATTTAAAGTTGCAGTCTGTAAGTTTTGCCTCTTTGTCGCCATCTCTGTTTGAAAACCTGGAATTGCAGCTATGTGCGGAATTATCTAGCTTGCGTGGGTTGTGAAATGGCATGGCTCCAGCGCGGATTAATCTAATGTTCTGAAGAATATGTGGATATTTACTGTACTTCGCAATCACAGATTCTAGCCTACGTCTTGGAATATGACCCAAATAAGAATTTTCACCGTATATTGCCATCTGAACAAGTTAGTAACAAGTCTGCCACGTTTGTTCTGACCAATTGAGGGAAAAAAACATTACCATAAATCTCGCTACCAATGGTGATTAAATCTAAAGATCGGTTAGCTCATATCACATCAAACCATTCAAATTATTATTATTGTTATACTTTATTCTCAAATGATTCATGTTAACAATATCAGCATTGGTGACTATGATTATAGTGTGTATTAACGTGTAGATTTCAATTTCTGCACAGTCTAATCTAATTGTCATACCATTCGAATTTCATATTAAGAAATTATTTTAACCCAAAAAGCAAATTATGCTCCCTTCGAACTGGTTTTCTTTAAAATACAACTCTTTGTAATCCCAGGCTATCTGTAATCAGAAGCACATTTAAAACTGGAATATAATTTCATAAAGTTTCATAAACACATAATCCTTTATGGATTAAAATTCGCCATCAGAATTATAAATTTAATTATTCTGGCTGCTGTGAGAAAAGGCTATAAACGATCCGCCACCTGCAGGATCCTCACATGCGATAGCCTAGTAGCCGGGAAAACTTCTTTATGTCTACAGACGTGACGTAATGACGCAGTGCCATGCTCGAATTTCCTGCGAAAACCTACCTGTACCACTCAAATTAGAAAACATTATTATAAGCTAACCGTTGTGAATCGGGCTAAAGTAAGGCTATAGTTTTGAACACTGGCTGGTTATGTACTTGCTCAAATATTGATTTCAGATCATTTTTAACCAAAAAAAGTTACGGACTGCAGTTTTAAAAATAAATTTTTAAAGATTTGGTCCTCAAAATGTTGATCCTACAATATTAATACTAACTAAAAACACAATCACATATGAACATCACTATTTTGGCATATTTAAAGTGATAAGAGAAAAAAAAATTCACAAATAAAATAAAGCTGTGTGGTGCTAGTAAGGTTAGCCACCCCCCATTACTCCTGCTACTGCTGCTTTTATTGAAATGGAAGAGAGCACTGCAGCCCTGCCTCCATTACAGCAAATAACATCTGCACGCACAGGGTATGCAGGGCCAAGACGGCCTTCCCCGCACACAATGGAGCCAATGGGGTAAGGCATGTAAGCAGAGAAGGAGCAGCAAACAAAAGACAGAAAACGAAAGAGAGAAATAACACAGGGACAAGAGGATTTTAATGAAAGACATTAAGCTGTTGAAGCCAGTATGGGGCCTCAACACATTTACAGCCGAGCAGCCTGATTTCAAAACAGAGTGTCGCTCACAGGAAAACAACTGTGATTCTTGGGTTTCTATCCGAGGCCTTTCAAATTAGGCCACTGTATGACGCAGTAGCCCAACTATCAAAACAATAAAAAATATCACACATAATAAAAAAGAACACACACATGCAAACATATAGAAGTGGAAACATGCAAATGAGCCACTCCTCACCCTCGGTGTTCCGACAACTAGAGCAAACAATCTTGCTTTCCATCCCTTCTTCCTTCCTTCCTCTCACCACCTCCACAACAAAACACCACCACCACTACCCTCCTCCTCCTTTCTCCCTGACAGCAGAGGGAAAAAAAATCCACTTTTTGCACTAGGCAGGGCCCTTCAAGAAACGATCCACCAGGAGGAAAGGCACGCCAGAGACCATTCTGGATGGTGACCACCATGAATAACAGCACATAGTGACCCACAGTCACCATATCTGCTCAGTTCTCATGGCTGCCTCCCGGCCCTGATGTGCATAACTGTCTGGAGGTGTGCAAAGACCGCCTCTCTAACGTCCCTGCTCTGGGCTGTATCACTCCTGAAGACCCCTTTGCCATTTTGGCTGCCATGAAGCAGTCAGCTATCTGCCTGTAGCACAGTGCCTGTATTGTTTCCGAGCCTCCTCGTCTGCCTCAAACCGGTTTCAACCGGTTCCGGTCACCCTGCATAATGTGTGTGCTGCAGTGCAGCCACACTGGAGACAGAAGCTGGCCGTTTCTTCATCAAATCTTCAATATTCCTGCAAAATATTCCTGCTTTGAGTGCATGTTAATATTATCGAAGAGGTTTGTGTTCAGAATCCGTGTGCAGTTGACGTTGCCGAGCCGAATCAAACACTAGGCCTGAAAAACACAGACTATGGAGGACGTTTATGAAAAATACATGCACACCAGAGCCTGGTTTATATGGATGGATTGATGGATGAATGAGAGAAGGAAAAACTGCAAAGCCAAAGAGCAGATGCACATTCCAGAGGAAAACCACAAGTAATGTGTAAACCAAAACCACAAGATGAGCACCGTTTCCTGACAGAAGAAAACAAGACACAGAGATAGTAAGTAGAATTTAAACAGGCTCGGTACCTGACCTCTTTTTGATTGTGCCTCTCGGTTTTACCCCATTCTGCAGCACTGGACTGATTCTACTTCCTTCTCTGCCTCCCCTCTCCCACTCTCTCTCTCTTCCTCACTCTCACACTCTCCATGGTCCCTGTTCCTCTCTTCTAGCCAGTGTCCCTGCTTCCTCCTTTTGCCTTTTAACCAGAAAACCAGTGAGAAACACGGATCTTTGTCAATTAAAATCAGCTGCTCGTCCCCTAATCCTCCAGCCCTGGGCAACCATGTCCGGTCTCTGCCAAACGTGAGAGAAAACAAAGGCCGTGACACAGAAAAACACACACACAGAGACACACAAACAGGGAAAAAGCAGGCTCTTTCTTGCCCTACCCCGCTTCGCCCCGGCCCTACTACCGGGAATCTTCGTGGAGAGGCTTATGCAAGACGTCAGTCCAGCCAGGCCCCATTCTGTATGAGTGTGATTTTTTTCCCCTTCACTATGAGCCTGCTGGTTCCTGTTCTATAGGTCACTCTCTCCGCTGCAGATGCACACGGCAGCGCAGGGAGGAAGGGGGCAGTGTTCCGACAAGCAGCCCTGGCCTTTTGTCTTTGTGTGCACTCGTGGGGGGGGAGGGGGACTCGGAGATGAGACTCTGGCTCAAGACTGCAACCAGCTGCTGCAGCCAAAGAAGACAAGCAGATTCGAGGAGAGACAGAGAGAGAGGAACAAGGCAGAAAAGAGAGGTGGAGCAAAAAAAAAGAAGGAATATGAGACGGGACTGGAAGGAGGGGTGTAAGGGGAGAAGGGAATCTTCTGGAATGATGTTTGCAGAGAGACTGCGAGCAGGAAGAACAAAGGCCCATGATGGCATTGGCTAACCTGCAGTCAAATCATGTATGCGTGTTGTTTTTTCATGCAGGTGCATAGAGAAACATTCAATCCAATAGGCTCAGGCATATTTGTAGCATTTTTTAAGGTAAGAACCTCTTTGAAGCCAACAACAGCTTTAGCTACATTACAGTAAGCATTCAATGCAGTGATGGTGTTGTTTTCTTAAAGGGGTCATATGATGTTGCTAAAAAAAAACATTATTTAGTGTATTTGGTGTAATGAAATGTGTTTATGCGGTTTAAGGTTCAAAAAACACATTATTTTCCACATACTGTGCATTATTGTTTCTCCTCTATGCCCCACCTTTCTGAAACGCGTCAATTTTTACAAAGCTCATCGGAGTGAAAAGCGAGGTGTGCTGTGATTGGCCAGCTATCCAGTGCGTTATGATTGGCCGAATACCTCAAGTGTGTGACGCAAATGTTATGCCCCTACCATATTATGATGAAATGTTATGCCCCTACCATATCCCTGCCGAATACGGCAGTAAGACATGGAGAGGCTGCTGCCCACCCCCCGAGATGTAAGCGCAGTCACATGACCCGAGTCCTATTGATTCCTTATGTCGTGCCATAATACTGCCAGCTGCAACATTATTGTTACATTCGAGTTTCAAAACGTTCTATGACACCACCACGGAGTTCTCGCAAAGCGCGGAGTATTTATTCGCTCTTATTAACAGAACAATTGTGAACAGTTGCTTTTCTTCTTTCATTTTCTAAATGTTCTCTCAAAGATTGCCCTTACATTTGTAAAAGGTTTCGGTATGAAACGAACATTTGCGTCATATAACCATGTATTTTGTGCTTCACTGCTTGAATATCGTGAGATGATTTTTTTTTTTTTTTTACTGTCAATCCCAAAAACCCTTGCGATTATCACAGTGGCATGATTCAACGATTCGTTTTTTTTGAACAGTTCGTTTCTAAAAATGATTCAATGAATCTTTTACGTCACGACGCCACTGCATCATACGTGCTTCCGGCGTGGCATATGACATGCTCGGACGTTCTGTGTAGTCACTAAGTGATGTTTATTACATTTTTATAAAGTTTTATTTATTTATATGTGTCCTGGTGCATTTGGCTGCAGCCATGATTTAAATGTTCAAAAAAAATGTTCAAAACTTAAATGTTCGAATTCTAGGCTGAAAAGTTATGGACGTTTTATTGAAATGTTAAAGCCAACTCTGTTGTAAATGTGTGCATCAAGCTGTAATCAGATTACCTTTATTTATTTAGAAATGTTATGTTGTTTGGCAACTGAAGTGATTTTTTTACACGTATTTTTCGCCTCATTGGTCATACCCTACTTACTATCCATCGGTGGCTTGTTAGGAATCTTTAGCCTATATAAAGAGACACTAATAAATCTAAGCTACTTTTATTATTAGCATAGAACAAATAGAATTAGAATATAGCTGAGTAATACAACGATACATAAAATTCATTCCATTTAAACCGAATCACTGCGAATCGGACATGTCCGAAAGTTTTGTTCTCGGTTCTTTTGAACCACTGGTTCGTGAATCATTCATTCAGTCTGATCCGTGAAAAACCACCGAGTCAACTGATTCATTGAAAAGATCCGACTCATTAGAACGATTCATACACCGCTCTTGGAAAAGAAAATCTTCGGTTGGTATATGATTTGATATCAAACATCATTGATCACTTTTTCAAAACAAGTCCGTACAATACATTTGCGTTCTTACGTATTATGGCCAAATGATGGAACATTATTGACCATTCCCATGGAAAGTTTGTGGATTGTTGGTTTTGAGCCACACTTACCCATGAATCACCGCGGTGATGCCTATTCGCTCCTTATAATCTTCATGGTCGGAATTGATATTTAAACATGCTCCTATTAAACCAGATTTTTATTGTAATATTCATCTGTTTACATGTTTCTTAACATCATGCGTTTACGTATAGCCTACTTAGTAGGCTATGTGAGTGGCAGCCAGTGCCTTTTTATCGTTTGAGTCACTTATCAAAAGTTGCTAAAAGCTGGCAAATAAAATTTAAAAAATAGCTAAATTTGTTGCTAGGTGCTTTTGGAAGAAAAAAGTTGCTAGGGTAGTCTGAAAAGTTGCTAAATTCAGCAACAAAATTGCTAAGTTGGCAACACTGGCAGCCACCCAGTTCAGCTCCTCATAGACCAAACTTGTTTCCCAGAAGTCTTTGCTGCACACATCAGCAAGCTATGTGCTGGTTGATAAACAGGAGTCTCTAGTAACCTAAACAATCTAAGCACATTATTAACATGCCTAAATAATTGTGAATACCACATTTGTGGACACAATCACGCGGTGACATTTACATTAAAAAAAACAACAAAACAATTAGTCATTTTTAGTCCAAATATAAGCATCATTTACAGTAGTAGCCTAAAACTTTGACAGAATGAACGGAAACCTGACCTGGATGTCTTTTAGGGAAGAGTTGTGTTGACATCTTTTCATTTCTGACCTTTTCATATTTAATCTGATCTGAAAAAAAGGTAGGTTACTCAGGTTGTTTACTGGGCCTGCGGCAATACTCTTAAAGTAATATCGTGATTTACAATTGCATTTTTAATGTCATTCTGAATCCAGCCTATACAGAATCCAGCAATTTATGCAGTATTGCAAATAAATGCATTTGTATTTTTACATGATGAAATTATTATAAATCATTCAACTGTGACTGGGCTTTTATTATTATACGTTAAAGCGTCATACTTAAGTTTCTGTCCTTCTATATTGACATGTCCTCTGCTCAACTGATCCCAGAGTTTGTGCAACAACCATACAGTCTATGGCAACAACCTTCAAATGATACCAAATAGTTCCATCTAGTGGTGCAAGTCATCCTGTGATTAATTTCAGGAATTACATATATATAATGAATATAGCATGCTATGGTTTCACAGAAATGGTCATGAAATAAAAAATAAATAAAAATGAAAAAGAAGAAAAAAAATGTCTGGAGAACCAACCACTGTATTTATGTATATAGCCTATAATGTCTTTGTATTATAATATAATATAAATAGATTTGTAACTGGAGATATGTTGACACGATTTATCCCATCAGTCTCCATTACCAGAAACTTTATTATACATTTCCCTGCTATATAATAAAATAAAATATTTTTTGTCTGGTTTTAAAGGGGTTTGGAGCATTATTTAGCAGGTCAGTAAGACCAGAATGAGACCTCTGTCTGTCTTTATTTTCCTATGCCATAAAGCAATTGGGGTATATTACACAAACTGCACGAGAAAACAATAAGAAGCCATTTACAAGCTATTTTTACCCCGCATCTAATGAAAAACTGATGACATTTCACATTGAATCTGTCTTGGGAAACACAATAGCCCGTGGCTGAGATAATGACAGGTTAGCTCAACATGACATTCTGTTTTTATGTCAAGGAGCCTAACCCACCAAGATACTGACGCAGAACCCCTGGGAGGGGGGCCATTCAACTTTCAGCATCCCATCCCACACGAGTCATCCAGACACTGGCACGACAATTTCTCTCAATAGTGCATGTCATTTTCTTTCACTTTCTAAGTGGTCGTCGTCTCGTCACGGGAGTATAAAGATGAAGTGATTATCCATATGCAGCATTTCATGGGCCTCTGTACTGATCAAAGAAGCTGAAGGGACTCGAGTCTTGCCTGAGCGTTATGTGCCTTGTATGGAGATACAGATCAGTCGTTTCCATCATTCTGGTTATTGTGCTCTGTGATGTTTATGAATCAGACGCACAACCAATTGGAAAAGTTTATCCTCGTGGAAATCACTGGGCTGTTGGTGAGTTAAAATCATATTTTTAATTGACCACTTAAAAATATTTTGGGTCTTACACTTATAAATATACACGTATAGCCTACACGTATTCTTTTGGAGGAGAGTACTTAAAGTATTTAAATTTATATTATTTTTTTTATTTTATCCTGCATATTTTCTTTTACACTCAAGACTCTGCATACTCTGCATTTACATTCATTTTTTAAATAGAAAACTGTATAAAAACGCTTAAAATGCTTAATGAGGGTTGACAATTTAAGTCAAATGTGCAACAACAATACTTGTTGACAAATGAAATGTATTTTTCGACATATTATATAAAGAATACGTATGATATGTATATGAACAGGCAGTAATAAAAATATTTAAAAAATCAAATTAAATAAAATGATAAAATATCCAATTTAAATTGGTGTGTGCCTATACCATACATGAAAAAAAAAAAACAGTTTATAAATTAATATGCTGATCTAAAGAACCTGAAATGTAACATCTAGAACTTTTGATCTCCTGAGAACCACGGGACTGGACAAACAGAGGGTTTGTTGCTGAACCATTAAATAAAAGATTTAAGAGTATACAGTAAATGAAATCAATAACACCAGATATAAATCACTTGATTAAATGTACTAGTGGTAATTTGTTTAGTACATTCATTAAGCATGTATCTGGAGTGATTGCAGAATTCTCAAGTGTCACTTAAGCTTTGAGTCTGAAGAGGGAAAGAGGATCCATGGGGTGAAATGAACAGACTAACAGCCGTGCTTTAACTGGATGAAAATAGCATGCAACTGCCTTTTTGTGTGTTTGCGTGAAGAATTTGTTAATAAAGGTCAAATATGATACTTTCTTTTGATTTTAGCGATTGAGATTTGAGATCGAGTTCAATGGAGCTAGTGCTGTATTAAACAATTCCTCATAAAGTGAATTGTGACATGGTGAATAGAAGGAATTATGTATTATTTTGACTCAAATTGCATTTTGTTTGCACATTAATACCAGACTAGATTCAATATTTGTTTAAATAGCTAATATATATAAATATTTTTTTTTCTTGATTAGGTTGTATTATACATCGATTGCATTGTTTTGACTTTGTTTGCAACCTGCACATGAAGTCTTATTTAAGTGTGGAGATGCTCTCCATAGGCTATCCTAACCTCAGTTCTGTCAGGACCACTATCGTCAAAATGATAGATACTTAGCATAAAGTTTGGTTTGGCGGTATGGTTCTGTTCAGCCCAAAATAACTTTGCTCAGAAAACTTCTTCTTCGTTTGAGACAACACCTTTCAGGACTCTCAAGACCTTCCTCTTGAGTTTTATTTTCCGGCAGTTTTTACTTTCAAGTAACGTTAGTCGCTGTGGACTTCTTCTTCAGAGGAACCAGAAGTAAAAACTTCCAGCTGACTCCTCACGAACTCATCAAAAGAGCTCCGTTATCTACCGCATCCGGACTCTTTTTCAGCAATCGAAACCAATGCAAGTAACCGCTTCAAATTATTTAGATGCGTGTTTAAATTTCAGTCCCTTTTAAGGTGATTTTTGGATTCTTTGATGATTTTCCATGGTTGTGGTTAAGTGATGTGAAATACCGCCATTCTTTTCCTATTCTTTATCTTTTCCTTACTTTGTTTCATTCTGTGTATATATGTTTTAGTTAGTTATATGTTAGATATAGTTTCATTTTATTAAATCTCTTATATTCACAACGAATTGTCTCTGTTTACTGTTCACAGTTCCAAGTCAATGAATGTTTGAACCCTCGCTACATTTTGCTAAGAATTACTGCTAGCACTGTACAAAGAAGGACAGTTTATTGCTCCGTGGGCAGAAAATAAATATTCCTTGAATTGATAAATGATTATATTGTCTGCTCGGTGGACGGACAGATCAAATAATTGTAATATTGATTCTGCTACAGTTAATTCGAAGATATAATCTAAATATTTATTATGAATCATAACCAGTTATAATTCGTCATAAATATTCCCCTTTTTAGAGCTAATAAATAATAATAAACGTTACAGCAGAAATGGTAGCAAAATGATCATTTAAATGCTATTTGTCCTAAATGCATTTAGACTAACAGTTAGAACACTTAGGGTTGCATTTTCATCATAGATGAAAAAATGACAAGAGCTTATCACCATTATTGACATAAATTTTATCGCAATCTCAATATGATCTTTTTATTGCCCAGCCTTAGTGGATGCAGTTTTGTAATTATCATTCTATCTTGATGTGAACAGTCCTGCACTTGTGGTCACTGTAATGAATCCCCTTATGTTGCTCATTAAAAATGGTTAAATTATCACTTTTCTCATCTATTTTCATATGCATCATTATAACTGCATGAAAAGGTGCTGAACATGGTGAATTTGGATATAATAACTGGTATTTTAGAGGCGAATTATTCTTAGACTGAGTTTCTCACTGACCCTAAAGTCCTGAGCCTAGACACTGATTAATGACACTGATGAATCATCAGGCACAATCCAATATCTGCTGTCCGAGGAGTGTCAACTCAAACTTTGAGTCACACTCAGGACGTGGCGTCCCGGTGCAACATTCCCTGCCAGCAAGCTAAAACACTGAGACTGAAAAACACAAACCTTGACTTTGGGAGGGTTCATCCAGTGATGTCTCATAATGCTGCTGGCAGTCATGTTGTTCGGCAGAATGACCACATCATTGTTACTGTCCCTGCATGACAACTCACACTCCTCTCCTGAGAAAAACAGACAGAGAAAATAAGTTAATCTCTAAGGCCATTACAGAAAATTTAACATCGGTAAAGTTAAATGGACACTTCCTCCAGTTTAAACATGTTGAGGTCTTATCATAACGCATCTTCTGATGAAGTGTTTGTAAAGTATTAAGCACTGTGTCTAATACATTACTGTGACAGTATAGTGTTTATAAGAGTTTGCAGCATCAGTTTTAGGGTAAATGTCACATCATGTCACATTTCAATGCAAAATTTAAAAAATATATATTTTGCATAGAAACAATTAAGCCTGTTTTAAGAACCATTGGGATTTGCATTATACAGTACATGACAAATAATCATCATAATATGTCAATACTATCATTTAAATTTGAGCAAAAACCCTAATATTGTAATATTGTGAAATATTATTAGAATTCAAAGTAGCTGTTGTGTATCTGAAAATATGTTAAAATGCAATTTATTGCTGTGATGCAAAGCTGAATTTTCAGCATAATTACTCCAGTCTTCAGTGTCACATGATCCTTCAGAAATCATTCTAATATGCTGATTTGCTGCTCAAATTATTTTTTTTTGTATTATTATTATCAATGATAAAAACAGTTGTGCTGCTTCATATTTTTGTGGAAACCATGATACTTTTTTTCAGGATTCTTTGATGAATAGAAAGAAAACCATGTATTTGAAATATTTTGTAACATAATAAATGTATTTACTTTCACTTTGATAAATGTAATGCATCCTTGCTAAAGAGGCATTAATTTAACTTAAAAAAATAAATAAAAAATCCTAGTGACCCAAACTTTTGAGTGATAAAATGTATTTCTTTCTTTTTCTTTTTGTTTCTTTCTTTGGGATGTCGTTTCGAGAAACCAATCTACTTTGAGTGTAAACTACATGAGCCAATGCACATTGGCATGCTATAATTGCATCCATTTATATAATTTTATAATTGCACGGCCGCTGTACCACCGCGGGGGGCCCGGGTGCAACTTATGCAACTTATGCAACTTCTGTCAGGACCACTATCGTCAGAATGATAGATACTTAGCATAAAGTTTGGTTTGGCGGTATGGTTCTGTTCTGGGCAAAAAACCTCCCTGCCCATCCATGCAGCCTGTCATGAATGAGCAGGGAGAGCAACAATAATAACCCCCCCAGGGTTAACAGAACAGAACAAGGCAGATATCATTAATGTACTCAATGATATTTAAGTGTAACACTTTATTCAAGATAAAGGAGTCTGATTAGCAAGGAATATCAGAAAGCTAAGTCCTGACTGTGGCAAAAGGTGGAGCTGGGGATGGAGGAGGGTAATTTGCTCCGAAGCAAGCTGAAAAGCTGCTGAATAATACTGAATACAGCTTATATAGGAATGCCGCGATAGGTGTCGTATTCCTATAGGTAGATGTGATCAGCTGATGCAAGCTTGACTCACGTGACCTGCCAGAACTAACGCTAAAGCTTAATTTATATTTGTTTTAAATGCATTAATTTTACTTCAAATCAGAGCAATGCTCAGTCTATAATGATCTATATGTGTTTTAGGGCACTTAATGGGCAAGAAAAGTGCAGATGAGCAGGTCAGACCTGAGGATCCAGAAGGCAATGCTGAGACCTCTATGACGACTCTGATCAGGATCAGCAGGTTATATTTGTTTTAAATGCATTAATTTTACTTCAAATCAGAGCAATGCTCAGTCTATAATGATCTATATGTGTTTTAGGGCACTTAATGGGCAAGAAAAGTGCAGATGAGCAGGTCAGACCTGAGGATCCAGAAGGCAATGCTGAGACCTCTATGACGACTCTAGATCAGGATCAGCAGCTGGAAAGATACAACAAACATCTGCTGCTGTCACTCTTGCATACGCTCGTGAGAGGACGGATGGCACCGAAGAGCATGCTGGAGGGCACAGAGGAGATCGACGCTCATAAACTACTCGCATGCTGGAAGAGAGACGTCAGTGGGAGGAAGTTCATGAGAGAGACAGACAAGTCAAACTGATAAGAAACAGGAAAGAAATCCTGAACATGATCATTATGTTAATGCAAAAATGCATGCAAGATGCATTTAAAGTGCATATAGGTGGTTCTGATCTATTTTTTAATCACAAAACTATTCTGCAATGTGTATAACAAACAAAAAATAAAACATAGTTGGGCAAATAAAGAATCACTTTTGACCAGAAAATTTACAAATAAGACACAGATAATCCTTTTGTAACCAGTGTTGTTTTAGTGGCATTAAAATGCTGTTATAATTTTTTATTAACATTTTGAATTTGTTTTTATTTTTATATTTTATTATTTCATTTTTAAAGTTTTAGTCTTTTTTGTGTGTTTTTGTTATTAAAAAAAAAAGTCTATATAGTTTTAAATTTGTATTTCTGTTTTATTTATTTTAGTACATCAAATTAAACTAAATAAAAATGTGGCTTTGGCCACTAGCTGAAATAAGTTTAAGTTTTTATCATTTTATTTTCTTTAAATTAAAGTTACATTTATTTAAAGTAATACAATCTTTTCATGGTTTTAGTTTTAGTTAACTGTACTAGTTTTAGTTAAAAAAAATTAAGCTAATGATGATATGCATGTTTTATTTAAGGTAAATTTCCTTTGATTCTTATATAATAATATTTCTCTTTTTTTATGTTTCATATGCAGGCTGAGGACGTCTTGTTGCAGGTTTTATTAATGCAGGATGACAACGAAAGCTGAAGACCAACTGGACAAAAGACTGTGGTTTGAAGTTCACTTGACAACTGGCTTGATTGAATACAAATCTCTTTATTCAACAACATATAAATAAGCATGTTATATTTTTTTTATGTCAATATCTCTACAAAGAAACGCGCATAAACTGACTGTCATTATTCTGTATTTTTTATGGTATTGTTTTATAATTGAATTCATCTCCTTGATAACTGGCACCATAGTAACCATTGTAGTCACAGTTCAGTTGATTAATATTTAATAAACTTTAACTTGTTGGGCTATCTGCGGTTTATAAAAACAACAAGTGTGCTCGCTTGCATCGTTTAAAAATGTCGTAGCTAGAAAAAGACTATTAAAGGAATAGTTCACCCAAAAATGAAAATTTGCTGAAAATTTACTCAGGTCATGCAAGTATGACAAATGTAGATGAGTTTGTTTCATCATCGGGACATATTTGGAGAAATTTATCATTATATCACTTGCTCACCAATGAATCCTCTGCAGTGGATGGGTGCCGTCAGAATGAGAGTCCAAACAGCTGATAAAAACATCACAATAATCCACAATTAATCCACACGACTCCAGTCCATCAGTTAAGATCTTGTGAAAAGCTGCGTGTTTGTTAGAAACAAAATCATCTCGTCTGAATCAGGGGAGAAATATGCACGGATCAAGCACCGGTTACAAGTGAAAACAGTTCTAAACAAATAAGTTAGGGGGCTTTGATGTAAGAGGAATAATGAAGGAAGCATTATTATGGAATACGGACTCATATTTTGTCTGGAAGCAACAGTTTAAAGATAAATTGCCTTAGTAATGGATTTGTTTCTTACAAACACGCAGCTTTTCACTTCACAAGGCATTCATTAATGGACTGGAGTCATGTGGATTATTGTGATGTTTTTATCAGTTGTTTGGACTCTCATTCTGACGGCACCCATTCACTGCAGAGGATCCATTGGTGAGCAAGTGATGTAACGATCAATTTCTCCAAATCTGTTCTGATGAAGAAACAATCTCATCTACATCTCAGATGACCTGAGGGTGAATACATTTTCAGCAAATTTTAATTCTATCCCTTTCACATTAACATATGAATTCTTTATGGTCCATGCATCACAATTAAATAAAGACTGTGCTGAGCTGAATGCGCTTGTACATTTAGTGTGAGAGTTTAAAGACCCAGTCTCATTCCAAAAGCAATTTGTTACAGGTTATGATCGATCTTTTGAGGTGGCTGGCCATCACCTGCTTATTAGTCAAGCAGTCACTTAACAGAGGCAGGCAGGTGACAGGAAAACTCTTCACCGCACACTAATGACCATCTGAATAACTAAATCACGACCTGTGACAACTGGCAGGAAATTGTTGACGGTCTAGCTGTCTCGCTGCTCTCAGCTGTCTGTGCACAATAATGGCTCCAATTATTCACACTGATGTTTCTAACAATGAAAGATGTCAACTGAAGCCACTTTCATTTGGTTAAGCTCATCTTCACACAGTTTCCTTTCTGATGTTTGCTTTCCTCATTTGTCACAGATGAATCTAATTGCATCATTGATAAAGTTACTGCATAAATGGCAAACGGCGGATTTGGTGAGGGTCGTGTGTTCATAAAGACGTGAGCTGACGGGTTTGATAAAGGTGTACAGGTTCCAACTGCTAATGCAAACAACTATATGAAAGAATTTAGCTAAGCTGATGATATGCAATCTCCTGAAGGATTTTAAACAATGGTTTACACGCCTTACATTACATTGTATGTAAATACAAAATAAATAAATCTTTATAGAAGTATATAAAAAATATTTATAATATCACACCTATTTTGTTTACACAGTATAAATGAAAAAGAAAAGGCTTACATTGTATTTTAGCCCAAGGACATATATTTAATTTGGCTTTGAAAATGTTTAGCATTCCTGATTTATAATAACTCCAGATTTAGTTTGGTTTAGTGATGGTGAGATCATATTTCTATATAGAAACACCCACAGAAACCTAAAAATATACCACAAAATTTAAATATAGATTGTAAAGACACAGGTCCATTGTTACAGTATGGAGGGAGAATAATGTTCCAAATGCAACCACTAGATGGCGCCACACTGACGCATCTTCCGCTGTGCGAACTCACAGTACATGACAGTCTGATGATGGCCTGTGGGAACCGGATCATCTTTTATATTTATATATATAAACTGCAGCAACAACAAAACCTTTGGGATTATATAAAATATATGATATCTTAATGGAAGTTTATATAATGCGTTTTTTTTATTTCTCTCTTTGAATGCTTAAAATGTTTGTTTTTTTTTATTATTAAAAAAAGGGTAGAATTAGGTCCAGTTGCGTGTTTGAATTAGCAAGGAAGCTTTATTAAATGAACACATGATTTTAAAAAAATTCCAAAAATGACAGTAATGTACAGTAAATTTGTTTTACAAAGCTTGTCATCCATAATGAACAACTCTGGGAGGTTTCTGAACCATACACAGATGTGAAAACCACTTCTTTTCAAACAGAGTCTGATTTAGAAAGTTAATGGAGATGCAAACAAGTCTCTGAGTATCTCAGTCCAGCATCATCCTCAGTTTACCACGTCTTCACTATATACTGGATGTGTTCCTTCGCTTTCATTCTTAGCGAGGCGATACTTGTGTTTCGTGGGTCTGCCTCTTCTAGTGAAAATGTATCCATAAAGCCTGAGCACTGATACGCTGGTGGAGGGGGGCACACCGCCCCTATATGGGGCAGAGGGTGGTTGAGTGTAGTTGAGCTGAGAAACTGTGGAGGGGTGTAGCTGGCTGGTACTCCCTGCTGAGGGGTGATGAAGCTGGGCAGGGACTGCAGGGGAGAGCTGGAGGAGGTGATCGGTCCAGTAAGCCAGGGCTCTAACGGCAGACCGCTACCCAGAGACAGCGGCCCCGATCTTGGGATGGACAGCATGGAGGACTCCTGCAGCTTGATGGAGCTCACCTCCAGTTTCTCCTGACGTCGCCACTTTGCACGGCGGTTTTGGAACCACACCTGACATTTGACATAAGAAGGATTTGGTTTAGAATGCAAGAGTAACACGTTTAAAAGTCCAACTGTGACGGAAGATATAGAAAATACAGATCTAATGTTGATGTTTTGCAAAAAACCTTTCAAAAACATTTGCCAGAATAAATAAATAATTCAAATTTTATTAGTTTGCAAAACATTTCAACACTTGCAAAAAAGTTGATATATGTTTATGATTAAATAGTATTCTATTTATATTATTTATTTAACATATTAGTTATATTATATATTACAATATTATAAATTATTTTTGCCAGTTATTTATGTCCCAGATATTAAGCGTTAGCGTTAGTTCTGGCAGGTCACGTGAGTCAAGCTTGCATCAGCTGATTCTCAGCTGATCACATCTACCTATAGGAATACGACACCTATCGCGGCATTCCTATATAAGGTCTATTCAGTATTATTCAGCAGCTTTTCAGCTTGCTCCGTAGCAAATTACCCTCCTCCATCCCCAGCTCCACCTTTTGCCACAGTCAGGACTTGGCTTTCTGATATCCCTTGCTAATCAGACTCCTTTATCTTGAATCAAGTGTTACACTTAAATATCATTAAGTACATTAATGATATCTGCCTTGTTCTGTTCTATTAACCCTAGAGGGGTTATTATTGCTGCTCTCCCTGCTCATTCATAAGAGGCTGCATGGATGGGCAGGGAGGTGTTTTGCCCAGAACAGACCCATACCGCCAAACCAAACTTTATGCTAAGTATCTATCATTTTGACGATAGTGGTCCTGACAGAACTTAATTTGCTACACATAAGGTTCAGATATTTGAAAACAAATTAGCCACATTTTTATTAGCTGTCACTAAAATGACTTTAGAATATTTTAAATCAGAATATTATATCCTAATAAAACTTAAGAAGGAGGCCACATTTTCTTTGGTACTACACAAGAAAAACAGTCTGATGTGAAATCTCTTACCATCGATATTTGTCAAGTTTTACTTTTAATGAATGTAATACATGATTATTTATTTTTCAGATTTACTTACAATATTTCTAAAGTTTTCATATAATTTTTTTAAAGAAAAAATACCCAGTTGCTTCAATACATTGCAGTTTGTTTTAGTTTATTCTATTTGATTATTATATATAAAAACGAATATATGATTTTTTGCCTTGAAATTGTGCTTGAAATATTTTTGAGCAACATTGCAAACGGAAGGGATGACTATGTTCAAAACCTTTAATTTTACAGTGATCTATTAAATGAAGTGATCCTATTGCTAGCATGTGTCCTTCTTATTCTCAAATACACGGATCATGTGTGTGGTCTACCCTGTGCTCACCTGCACTCGAACTTCTGGCAGGCTGACCTTGAGCGCGAGCTCCTCTCTGCTGTACACGTCAGGATAATGCGACTTCTCAAACGCTCTCTCGAGCTCGTGCAGCTGAAAGGTTGTGAACGTGGTCCGGTTCCGCCGGTGCTTTTTCTTATGATTTTCATCATCCGATAATTTACCAGCATCCGCATCCGGCAGATCCGGACTGACCATGACGGAGGATCTACAGACACCTGTAGAAGAAGAGAAGGCGTGACGTGTTCATATTAAAATGAAAGTTCACGTATTAAAATTATCTGTCTTTTTTTTTTAAACTTCACATAAACCACTAAAAAGTTTTAAAACTTTTAACATCGTCATATTTATTTAATTAGCCTATATTTTTGACTTTTTCCAAATAAAATGTATATAATTTAACACTTTTTCCCTGTCTTTTCCTTTCTTTAAAAATAACCTTTTTTCCATTTACAATAAAAAAACTAAAAACTCTTAAAACTTTTCAATAGCCTAAACTTTTCAGATTGCATATAGCCTAATATATCAAGATTTAAATGTCTATTATGCACTTGTAGAAATGTATTCATGACTTAAAACATTTAATTTAGTATAAAGTGCTGCCGAAACGTCTAGTTTTAAAAGCAGACAAATGTCACTTTGCGAAGCTGTTAACTCACCTTCAAAGTTTTGGGAGTTATTGGAGTCCTTTTGGGGGGAAGACAAAAGCTCAGCGTCTTTGACCGGCTTCCCAGATCCACAAGAAAAAGCCGTGTGGAAGATATTCTCTCCTTTAAATCCCAAAATGGATTCAATGCTGTGGATCCTCGTTTGGGATCCAGGACTGCGAAGCAAGCGCGCGGATGGGGAGAGACGCTCTTCCATATCTTGGGATTGGGATCCAACAAGCCTCATCGAACGTTTTGTTTCAGGAAAAAAAAGAAAGTACTAAGGATTTCTAGCCTATTTCCTATGCAAGACACTCTATTTCCAATAATCCAGGCTGTCCCAGCAGAAGCAACTTTCTCCAGTAGTGGACCTGCACACACTGAGGATGCAGTGGCCCCCAGGGGCCTTATATGGACCCCCCTCGACCGGGACTCTATTGTGTGAGTGACATCCCCTTCGACACGTCAAGAAACGTCAGATTGATGTAGTATTGTCCCTGAGCATTTAACTCCTCCCAGAGATCCTTGTGGGCATAATGGCAGCTTTATAAACCGCCTTACATAAATCTTAAATCATCTTTTCCCACTCCAGATGTCTTGATCAGGATGGCCTGTAGAAATAAGAGGAACTGGGGCTGGGATTACATCTTTGGGGCCGAAACAGATCAAGATCTCTGCACGCGCAAAATGCCATTAAAAATGCCAGCTTGTAAAATGTTCTGTAGTACACTCGCGCCGAAATAGTTACTTGTATTGTACACTATTGTCTTAAAAATAAATGACATACAACAAATGACAGAAAGCTTTTTCTGACACTATTTGAAGGAGGTTCCATGTTAGTTTATCATGGTGAAATAACGAAATTGGTCATATCACTCTCTTCTGAGGTGACAGTAAAAGCTGAATGTCTCCGTTTGGAAATATAGCTTAAAGGATAATATATATATATATAATGGCATAGCTATTTGCCACGTAACGTTTGTGAGAGTGACCGACACACGTTAGGCCTATTTCTATAATTAACAAAATGTTTAAAATGAAATAGTAGGCCTACTCTTTATACTTGAAATAATTTTACACACATTAGGTTGTAGATTTTTCAACTAATTTGTTGCAGCTAAATACGGAAATATTACATCAACGTTTGAAACACACAGAGGAAAGATTAAATAAAATAGAATAATAATAAAATAAAATAAATAAACCCCGAGTTACAGACATTCAAACAAAATGTGTTAGCCCAACACTCCGCGATTTACAATGGTTACCATTTTAAATGTTGTAGCCTAACACAAAATTATAGTCTTGCTAGCCGATATAAAAATAAATAAAATATCAAATAAAGTAAAAACAAAGCTTAGTCTATATATAATTTCTAATGAGAATATAAAATGTTATTCAAAGTCTGTTTGTGAACGACAAGGACAACTTAACGAACAGAATAGGCTATGTTTAGGTATGGAACGATATTCCCGACAATTTTCAAAAGGAATTGCAAAAATGCGAAAATGCAAACGGTAATGCAGGATTTGCAATTGCGTTATGTCACAATTTATGCGTCCACATATGGAAAACGCAATTGAAAATACAATTTGCAATTCCTTTTGAAAATTGTCCGGAATATCGTTCTTAGACTATAAAACTGCTAAATTGGTATCGGTAGAATGAAATGATCCTGAGTTTTGGTGGTGAAACATTAAAGCAGCCTAACTAACTAATTACAACTCTAAAACGATAAAACACCACCAAGAACTACTTTAGCCCTACACTTCGAGCGTGGAGTGCTTTCGGTCATTAGGGGATTTTGTTACATGAACAAAACGCGATCTCAAGCAGCAAGCACGCGACCCCTGAGAGCTAGCCTACAATTGAGGTGCAGTTAATTGGAAGAATTTGCAAACTTCCTCAATATTGAATGGATACGAGTAATTCAAGATTGACAGCAGTCTGCTAATCCGCAGGACACACGCTGGTTTGAGGGGATTACACACGTTCCCCCCTCTGTCCAAAACAGCACAAATCCTTTCAACTGTTTGGCTTTTCCCTAATTACAACAGATAATGTTGGTATTTCGAGATTTATTCAAAGATACACACATGCGCGCGCGCACACACACGAAAAACAAAAACACATGGCAAGATATAAGCTAATAGATGTTTTGAATGTGTTGAGTAAAAATTCAATCATTCGTTCCTTCAAATCTTCTTGTACTTTTTATATATCGCCTTGTTTTCTAATTACCAATCACTGCGAATTTCAATATGCAACTACAGGAAAGTATATGAATACAAGTACACATTTTAGTACTTTTTAAAATGATAGCTGTTTGGTTTGTGGTTATTTTACTGTTATTGGCGTGACAAAAAATGAAAATACAATTCAAATTAAACAAACAAACACATTTTTTTTATTGTGTTATTGTGAAGCACCTTGGTCAGAGTTAATGTTGTTTTAAAATGCTATATAAATAAAATGACCTTGACCTAAAATGAGGTCACATAATGTGAAGACACAGCATTACAATGTTACCATGTCTAGTGAAGGCGTTTAACTTGTCTCAGACTTGACAATCCTATTAGCAGGGAATCTTTAAAAGTCCAAAGCCTTTCTTTTTCAATAAACATGAACTTAGATTAATTTCATATTTATTTTCTCCTGTCATGTGGTAACAACTTTTCATGCGAGTTGCTAAACAAACCATGTTTTTCAGACCCTTTTTACCGGATTTAGTTGTTTTCATGTAAATATAAAGATACATGGCATAAAACATTGACACAGTAAGATTTCATGGCCCAGAAAATCTCACAGACATGTACTTATTTTGATCTCAAATGCATGACAGACTCACAGTTTTTCAATCCACTGTTTTATTCATGTGTTTAATCTGTTTACACATGAGACATCAATCCTATTCATCCCTATTTACCTCACATAAAAACTTAATACATATGACTAAAGATTCCTAATGAGCATTACAATATCATATATGTCAATGCTAGATGGTCTGCTGTCAAGAAGAAGAAGAAATAACAGCATCACATTCATCTCATCCCTTGTGCAAAAAAGCAGGAGGGGGATTTAAACAGATTCTCCGCCTCAGGTTCAAGTTAGATGTTTGTTAGATATATTTACAGGTAATATTGCATATTATAATATGACAGGTAATTTAAAAAAAAAAGGAAAAGGAGGGAATAGACTACAACATCAGTTATTCAAACAACACAAACAAAAGAAAAAGTCCTGCAGCATAACTGGGAGCCAAGCAAGAGAAGCTGATCTAGAGCCAGATCTTGCAGCGTTTGGGAACTAAAAGCTTGGGTGACTTCTTTTGACATGCTTTCACGTGAAATTTCATTTGAAGACATGTCAAAAACAAAAAGTTTTTCAAAACTGTGTTTCAAAAACCTGACCTGGTTTTTGTATCAAAACTGCATCAAAAACCTGACCTGGTTTGTAGAAATGTGTGAATGTGTTAAAAACCACTACATGACAGAGCACTTCTCCTCAGCCTTGGACTTGATCTCTGTCAGTGTAGCACTGGCTTTCTCTTTGATCTGATCCATGTCCATGTTCTGTAAGTTCTGCATCTGCCCCAGGATGGAGTCCTTCTCCTCCTCCTCCGTGGCATCCTCATCCACCATCTTCAGCAGCTCCTCGGGAACATCCACGTCATCTCCTGCTATCTGGATCATGTTATCGTCCTGCTCACTCTGAGAGGTAAATACACACCATGTTACTTTCAAACACAGTTCCACTAATGTATAAATGCTAAAAACAATGTGGACCAGTGGTGCATTGCAGAGTTACATTGAACATCCCGACCAGCCTTACATTGGCTCAGCCTCAGCCAATGAATTTGGGGTGGATCTGTACACTGTTATGCACAATAATTTTAGACTCTACTATCCGTATGTTAGTCTTTTGCATTATTGCATTACAATAAGGATTTAAGAGAGAGAATGAAGCTGTACAAAGGCGAGCAGTTGTTAAGGAAAACCAATATGCTTGGAGGCTTGCACAGACCTCAGTTCACTCTTTTAATCTAGTTAGCTGATTTATCGGGAGTGCCAAGAACTCAGAGCCAAACAAAGCATCCGTATGGGAGAAACTGCATTTGTGTATATGTGCGTGTGTGGGAGCCACAGCAAATTGGGAATGCTAATTATTTTAATATTAGAATGATTTCTGAAGGATCATGTGACACTAAAGACTGGAATAATGGCTGCTATTCGTCGGCTTTGTCATCACAGGAATAAATAACATTTTAAAGTAAATAGACGTTTTAAATGATAAATTATTGTAAAATATTATATATAATAAATATTTATTATTTATTACATACATACATATTATTTAATACATATGTATTATATATTATACAAATATTTATTTTATAATAAAATATTAATATAAAATGTATTCAATTACAGTTAAAAAAAATGTATATGCAGGCTCTGTGAGCATAGGAGACTTTTAAAAAATATAAAAAAATGTACTGACCCCAAATTTGAATGGTAGTGTATATAAATTATAGCCCTAATCTTAAAGAAAAAAAAGTTAATGTCAGTTGCCAACTGACGAACATTTCCTTATTAAATGTATTCTTTTTGAATTTGAGAAGGGAGGGAGTAGCAAAATGGCTCTTACTTTAGGAAGTCTGTATTTTTCTCGTAGACAAACCCTCAGAGTGGCCCTCTCTGCTTTCTTGTGCAAGAAGTCTGCATCTCTTTCCATTCTGTGGATCAGAAATGTTTTGACGACACTTTATTACATGCTAAGACAAATACAGTGCATTAATCTAGCTTTAAACAAATAAAAATAAATAAATAAAAAATTCCATGTAGTATAGTGGATACAAATCTTGTGATTTTCATGTAAAAAACATAGGATGCAATAATCGCATGCCATTGTGCATTGGCTCGTTTAGTTTACAATCTAAGTGGATTGGTCTCTCTAAGCGAAATCCCAATTCGTCGGTCATCCGACGTGACGTCTCCGTTCCCTCCTTCAGGGAACGAGGGTTACCATACGTAACCGAGACGTTATTTTGAATATTAGCTTGCTATGTTCACTTACTCGAAGACAACCGTTATCTAACATGCTGTCTCATTTTGCACGGCTGTTGAAATAGCACAAGCTCATAGATCGAATGCTGAGTCCCAGTCCTGAAGAGAGACCAGACGCCTCAGAGCTGATCAGAGAGATGAAAGGTGATCCCAGTGACTTCATTTCAGGGTAAGCATATTGAACCTGACAGGTTTGTGTCCACCAGAAGTATCTAGTTTAATTAATTCAGATATAACAGAGAAATGGTTTAAATTAATGTTTTGTTATAGGATAATGCATAATGATTTTCTGCTGTATATTGCTTTTTGATGTTTGCATCATCTATAGATTGTCTGATAGTTTTGATGTGATCGCAAAACTTGGTCAAGGAAGCTATGGCTGCGTTTATAAAGTAAAACACATATATGATGACAAGATCTACGCTGTAAAGAGAGTTATCTTAAACGGGTAAGTTTATACAAGTCATAATTAATTAATTTATATATTCATTCATTCATTATTTTTATTGATTTAATTTATTCATTAGTTTGTTTATTTATTGTGTTTATTTGTTCATTCATTCCTTATTTATTTTATGTATTTCTTTATTTATTAATTCATTACTTTTAATTTATTTATTTTTATTCATTCTTTGATTTAAAACAGGAACGCTGATTCTGAGGTGAAGGCACTGGCCCGACTAGATCACCCAAACATAGTACGGTACATCACATGCTGGCCAGGTTCTGACAACTGGACGTCAAACCAAGAAACAAACCAAGTGTCCAAGTAAGCAAGTCTCCAGCACTTTTGATGAAACATTCAGTGCTTCTCAAAAGTCACGTTTATGCATTTTATGTTCAGTACACCAGGTTCTTCATCGGATGTAGGGATCTTTGAGAGATACAGCTGTGAAGAGAGGGATGATGATGATGATGATGATGAGAAGGGATGATTTCATACACCATATGTGACCCTGGAGCACAAAACCAGTCTTAAGTCACTGGGGTATATTTGAAGCAATAGCCAAAAATACATTGTATGGGTCAAAATTATCGATTTTTCTTTTATGCCAAAAATCATTAGGACATTAATTAAAGATCATGTTCCATAAATATATTTTGTAAATTTCCTACTGTAAATATATCAAAACTTAATTTTTGATTACTAATATGCATTGCTAAGAACTTCATTTGGATAAATTTAAAGACGATTTTCTCAATATTTAGATTTTTTTTTTGCACCCTCAGATTCCAGATTTTCAAATAGTTGTATCTCGGCTAAATATTGTCCTATCCTAACAAACCATACATCAATGGAAAGCTTATTTATTCTCAATTGAAAAAATTGCAAACTTCCAGGAGATCCGGCAGTTTCCAGTAGTTGTCCGCAGAGAAGATTCAAAGTAGACAGATAATGATTATGAAACATGATGTTGCAAAAGTATTACCTGAAAAGAACATCACTCCTGAACAAACTCACCATGGATTGCTGGTCTAAACTGGTTTAAAACAGATGGTCTCCTAACCTGATCAAACTGGTCTTCAAGTGTTCTAGCCGGTTTTCCAGACTGTCCAAGCTAGTCTTCAGGTGGTCCACAGCTTATTAGCTTTTGCACTGAATTGGCTCACTTCAGGCATTAAAATGGTCAATTAGCATATGAGCATACTTTTTTTTTTATTCACAGATGACAAGTACCTCAGGTCAATTAATTTTGGAGCTCTTAAAAACTATTTTGTGCTCTCGCTTAGTGAGGTGATTATCTCCCTTTACAGTTCTGACACTTTGATTGTCTAATCGTACCTAAACCAGTCTAAGGTGGTGTACCTACGAACTCCCATGACCCTTTTTAAGAAACAAAACAAAACCTCAATGTAATTACTGAAAGGTCTTATTTTATTATTCGCAGTTAACAAGTACCTCAGGTCAATTCATATTGTCCAACAAAACTCTCATTTTGTGAGACGATTATCTCCCATTTAAAGCTCTGACACAGTCAAAACTGAAGCTGACAATGCCTGTCCAAGGTGAAGACAGCAATAAGGATATCATTGTGTCCCCACAGTCCCATAACTGTTCATTTATATTGTTGGCCTATTGGAAACATAAATATGCTGAAAACTATTATTCCTGAAGGGAAGGTCATTTAAAGAGGGAATTGTTGTGGACAAAGTTCTTAAAATTGACCTCAAGTGACAATATGGTTGCCTTGAAAGGGCGCAACTACTATTCATACAGGAAGTGCAATGAAATGAGTCACAGACACAAATGCACAAAAAAACCCCAAACCTGACCATCATTTAAAGCACTAAGAATAATTGCACCTAAAGTGTCCTTAAGTAACTAGGTAATTAAAATGTAGAGGAGACCATTTGAAATGGTTCACAACTGCATCTCCTGTTAGGGCCAGTGAGCTCGTGCTGGGTTGAACGCACAGCATGCTGGGATGGAGTGACAGATGTGCTAAACGTACATGACATCTCTCTGTGTAATCCCCTGAAAAGAGAGAAGAGGGGGTGGGGGAGAGAGCGAGAGTACGCAATCAAGCCAGAGCGAAGAGAGAAAGAGGGACGGAACGGCTTGTGGATTATCAGTGCTAAGAATCATCGGCATATCCCAGGATTCCCAGCGCAATACTCTAATGTCACAAATGGATGCTAGTAACGAGGACACCGGCGGCCTGTAGCATCCAAACAGTCATTCAGATCATAACAGTGGCAACTTCCTGTGTGTAATGGGTCATAAATATAGCACATTTAAAAAAAATCCTTAAGCAAACTAAAAGATTTAACAAAGGATTTGAGGATTAGTTATTGTAGCACTATGAACATTAACTTTTTATTTGACACACCTAAAGCAAATACGCTATTAAACATCTAGCAATTGACTGCAGGCTGGTCAGGATGCTCATACAAACAATGTTTTGATAGCATCACATAAAAAAAAAAAATTATTAAATTAAATAAAAGCTAGTTTTTGAAGCTTTGGAAAAATTTCCAAAAACAATTTTAGCCCATTATAAACTACTCAGCCTGTTTTTCAAAATTGCATTTGTTCTTTTACTACAGAGAAACACAGAAAAATATAAAATGCAATAAAATAAAAACTATATACGTGACCCTGGAACTCAAAACCAGTCTTAAGTCGCTGGGATATATTTGTAGCAATAGCCAAAAATACAAAATTATTGATTTTTCTTTTATGCCAAAAATCATTAGGACATTAAGTAAAGATCATGTTCCATGAAGATATTTTGTAAATTCCTACTGTAAATATATCAAAACTTAATTTTTGATGAGTAATATGCATTGCTAAGAACTTCATTTGGACAACTTTAAAGACGATTTTCTCAATATTTTGAGTTTTTTTGCACCCTCAGATTCCAGATTTTCAAATAGTTGTATCTCGGCCAAATATTGTCCTATCAAACCATACATCAATGGAAAGCTTATTTATTCAGCTTTGAGATGGTGTATAAATCTCAATTTCAAAAAATTGACCCTTATGACTGGTTTTGTGGTCCAGGGTCACACATATATAGAATTTCTTGTATTTTTCAAAACAATCTGGATTGCAATTGCTTCAGTTCTTTCACCTCAGAAAATAACAGAGAAAAAAATACAATTAAATTAAAAATTCCACTATTTCCAACATTTCCGATAATAAAACATTTATCCTAAACTCTATAAACCGATCGGCCTGTATTTTTCAAAAAACATTCTGGATTGCAATCGTTTCTGATCTTTCACTATGGACAGAAAGCCTTTAAACCAAGAGAAAAAAAAATTAAACATTTATCCCATCAAAACAAAACAAAATATAAAAACTATAATTTTTGATATTTCCCATGAGAAAACATGTATTCCATCATAAACTGATCAGCCTGTATTTTTCAAACATTCTGGATTGTAGTCACTTCTGTTCTTTCACTATTGACAGAAAGCCATTAAACCAACATGCAATCAGTTGTTTGTGATGACTGGAGCTGAATAAAGGTGGAGAAAGTGTGTTAAAGCCCTCTGTCTCTGATCTAATCCCTAACGATGGCCCGGGTCATACAAGCTTCCATAGAGCAGCGCTATGGCTCTCGGCTGGGGTTCTTACAAAATCCCCTGCATGAGGCCCGCCCTGTCAGACAGAGTTACATCTGCATCCAGCTGCACTTCTGCTGTGAGCTGACAATTATATTACAATATACTCTAGCAACAGGCAACATATATAACAACATACTATATACATATACACACAGACACATACAAGATTTTGAAATATAAATGAGACAACACAAAAAGTCTTTGATTTGAGTTTTATGTAAATTGTTTGAGAAGAAAAACATTTGAGTTTTTTTTAAAGATTCAAAATACACATTCACAACTTCAGGTTCTTGCTTTCACCAATACAATAAAGCTTTAACACTTTTGGATGAAAAATCCGCCTTATTGTAGAGGTATTACCAAAGGGAATGCGCTAAAATACTTGATCGTATTGCAATTACTTTTTAACCACAGTTCCGAACGTTCCTGGGACAGTGATTGAGTTTGTGAAATGAGTCCTGGACCAGTATTGAACAGTAAATATAATGCCAGACCTCTTAAGATTATATTACATCCTATTCAGGAATCTTCCATTGCAAATGCCACACACACTTGGAAAAGAGCAGTTATTCAAACCCTGTACAACTCTGATCAAATTAAAAATCAAGAATTAAAACAAAAAAAATAATAATCTCAAACAAAATACTTCAGTTTTCAAGTATAATAATTTACAGTTTGCAAACAGAAAACAAACAAACTGGAAATGAACAAAACAAATGGACAATTTACATGTTGTGCTGTGTTTACCAAGAGCTATGAATCATCAAAAAAACTTCTTAGCTGCTGCTTCCTGCTGACTCCTGGAAGGAGAAAAAATGAAATAAAAATAAAAACACTGTCTATGACAAAATACATCTTTTACAATCCCTGAAAAATGGTCCTAATTTTTGTTCTGTGCATACAAAATGTCCATCTTGCTTTTTCAGTATATGAACAAGAGAACTTTCAATTTAAAGACAATGGGAGAGATTTCAGTATACTTTAACTACCAAAACATCTGAGGAAACAACTGTAGGAATCCAAAAACTGAAGCTTAATGAAGCACCCAATCAGAAAGGAACACAACTCTTTTTCCATTTACATACCTCTTAAAGAGCTTTGCATGAACACTGCAACATAAAAATCCACTCACTTGTACATAATGTAGCCGAAGAAGAGGAGGGATTGAATGACGATGAAGATCACAAAGTGTGTGGTAGAGAGGCAGGTGGGTAAAGGAGGAAGTTCAGGACATTTCACCTTCTCTGCAGGATTCTAAGGATCGTGACCGAAAAAGGGGTTATTGGCATTTTTTCCCCAGTTTTTTAAATTAATACATTTTTTAAATTAGAACATAGACAATTTAAACCAAGGCAGAAACCACATCGAGAAGTGAAGGGGGATTGGAAAATGACTAGAGATTCTATAATGTAATGTATGATATATTACGTAATATTAAAATAAATAAAAAAATAAACAAAAAAAAACTTGTTACAATATAAGAGTGTTATTTTAGTATAATATAATGTAATATGACATATGTTACATATTATATCATATCATAATATATAAATAAAAAATAGCATTTTTAATAAATATTAAACTAAAACACAAGTACAATACAAGTAGCAGTGTTATTTTAGTATCACTGAGATACAGTACTATTATAAATTTTATTTATATTTTGAATAAGTCTATTTTGATACTTCTGTTTTCATTTTAATTTGAAAGTTTCAGTAATTTTGTTGTGCATTTTTATTATTATTTGATCATATATGTTTATATCGTTTTCATTATTTTTTTAATTTCAGTTTGAGTTATTTTAGTACATCAAGTTAAAAATAAAATGAGAAAGGTTGGCTCAGCAACAGCTGAAATAATACAAGTACAATATTTTTTTTTTTTACTTGCTAAAGTTTATTTTATTTCAAATATCCAACGGTTTTTTGGTTTTAGTTTACTATGATAACCCTGACAGGCATAGCAATAAAATGTATCATGTAATCAGAAATGAAAACAAGATGGGTTGACTACTTGATTATGTCCCCGTCCACACGGAGACGCGTTTAGCTGTATACGCATACATTTTGTATCGTATAGGCGTTTCGTCCACACGGATCCGGCGTTTTGGGAACCCGATAAGTGAAACCGATATTTTTTGAAACCGGGTCCCAGAGTGGATAAATCTGAAAACGCCGCCCTTGCGTTTTCGTGTGGACAGCCAATCCCTATATTTTCTGAAACGATGACGTCATCAGCCCACGTCTCGCCCCTAGTCGGACACCGCTACGTCTCGTAATAGCAACAAAAACATGAACAAACACTGAACGACAGAACACAGATTAATAAATGTATTGTTCCATGTTCGTTTGTACACCGCGCGCAAGGTTTATGCGCATAGTCCAAGTCGTCTTCTCCGTTTTTAGTGCATCTCGGTGGCAGAATTACATGCTACTGGTCTGGCATGTATACTACATCATTTTGTGACGTTTCGTGTGGATGCAGATGGGAAAAAAAGATCACATAGGGAAAGCTTTGGCTTCGTGTGGACGTAGCCTATGACTATAAGGTTATTTGTCAGCTAAGCCTCACATATGCTGTGCTATAGAACTTATTGCCCATATCAGAAATGCTGATTTATTTTTGTATGAAGGATATATTTAAAGATTCGCATATAATCCATCAAACAGAGGCCCATAAGGAGCCTAAACAAAATTTTGTTTCTTAAGGGAGAAAAAAAATTAGACAAATCTCCCTTGAGGCAAAAAGTGAACATTTAGTAACCCTCCCAAGTAATCTTTATCCACTTCAAATGAACTATATGCCAGAGGAATGCGCTTTTCCCCATCAGATAAGTCATTTTGTTGGGCTAAGACGAGTAAAATGAAATTATGATCAAAAAATAGAAAAGGTCAAGATCTTAATATGTACATAATCTATAAGATGAACTCGATCAACGGAGCATTTGTTTGTTGCAGACAAAATGCTGTTTTCGCATGCCGATAGGATTAGCCTAAATGAACAATCGACACAGATTACTGATCTTTTCGACGGCTTTCCGTCAATGCGGCATCGATTCTGCCCTTTTGATGAAGACTGCTGTATTGTGTTTTGCTAATAGCAATATTAAACGTAACAATATTTGCATATGCTCTAAACAGCAAACCTTTTATACGTACGAATCATTCAAACGCCATCGTGTTGATATAGTCAAGATGGCATGAAATGAACAAGATGGCGTAGATAAGGATAAAGCTTTTGCCGTTGTGGTAAAATTCAGTTTTAATCAAATATAAAATGTAATTAGGTTACTAAAAGTTTTAAACAATGCTCTCGTCTGCAACCAAACTCTTAATCTAAATGCACAAACAAATCCTCAACAACAAAACCATCGGTAAGTGTTGATCTAAAAATCGTTTTAACAGTCAGTATAGTTTGTATACATCCGAGTTAAAGAGTTGTAAAAAGAGTTGTCTTTTGTGGGCTAATCCTCTCCTTGCACAGTTAAAAGAGTTTTAAATGCTGTATTTTGGCGTCTAATCCCAAAGCCTTATTGTTCGATTTTGTCTTTGGGCTTTAATCCTTGTTTTGTCTACACCTCACTTCAAAAACACCTGGAGGAAAACAAACAACCGTCTTCTAACAAAACCAAAAAAACAATGCTGACATTACAGAGGCCAAAACAGAATAACAAACAAATGTATTTAATCTGGATTAAACTATGAACATCTTTAGATCTTTATGTGAAGACACAACAAACAGGACGTTTACAGACAAAACCTAATCTGTTGCATTGTTCAAGCCATGTAATGCGCTAAGGCCTGTAAGTAGTTGATTCACTCAGAGATTGTTTGTGACTAAAAACTTTATTGGCTAGGAATTTTCGGAAGTATACCGTATTAGTTTTTTTTATTAGTTAGTTTTAGTTTCAATTTAAATACATTTGTTGAGGCTTGGCATTTATAATAAATGTTATTGATAATTAATGCATGTTTGTTTTATACATTTTGACCAGGTGAGAGTTAAAATCAGGTGTTGTGCTGTCAAACGATTAATCGCAATTAATCGCATCCAAAATAAAAGTTTTTGTTTACAAAATATGTGCGTGTACTGTGTATATTTATTATGTATATATAAATACACACACATGCATGTATATATTTAAGAAATGTTTTAGTTTATATATAAAATATTAATGTGTATATATAATATATTTTATGTAAATATTTATGTATGTTTGTGTATTTATATATACACATCATAAATATACACCGTACACACTCATATTTTGTAAACAAAAACTTTATTTTGGATACGATTAATCACAATTAATCGTTTGACAGCACTAATCAGGTGTGACTTTTTTATTTTTTAAATATGGTAATATTCCAGTTGTTTTGGACAGGAGAACAATATTTTCCTTAGGGACTTACCTTACTTCATTAAGGTTCCTCAAAACCTCCTGTTGTGTATTAATAATGGTGTCCATTTCATGATTGGGAGCCTAAATAAAACATGCAAACTATTAGTTAGGCTCAAGAACAGTTTAGATCATAAATTAAATATCATAAGTATTAAAAGCAATCTTATAATTTTGGTGCTTCACAAACTGATAAAGCAACTTGTTTTAAAAGATGTCAGACTAGATCTAAAAACATCTTATGAAGGATTTGGATTGGATCTGAGACGACATGTCACAGCATTCAATATAAAAATCTGGTCAACGTTAGTGTTTAATGCTGTTAGATATATTTTTAATACACTGTTATATGAATGTTTGCCATATTTCAAACGCATTTGTCATGTCTTACCTGTCCTGACTGTGCTTGTGAAGAGCGTTTGGAGATCTCCTCTGTGATGACTGACACATAGCGCCGTTGTTCGTCCAGAATCATGGCCAGCTGCCTGTTCAGCTGCTTGATTTCCAGGTGTATTTGATTCTGCCCCTCAAACACCTGACGGATTTCCCGGTCGTTAACGCTTTCAAACAGGTCCTCAACTGCCAGAAGAGAAACACTGAACAGATGTTTTTCTACAAATATGGGTGTTCATTAAGTTAAAATTAATCATAGTGGAAACCGAATCTGTTGTTAAAAAAATAAATAAAAATGTGTGTCTAAAATGCCCTTGGATGGATAACAAAATAAACAAAATAAATCTAAAATATTTCATAAATAAATAAAGTTTAACTGTTGCAACCAAATGTGACCCTGGACCACAAAACCAGTCATAAGGGTAAATCTTTTGAAATTGAGATTTATACACCATCTCAAAGCGGAATAAATAAGTTTTCCATTGGTGTATGGTTTGTTATGATAGGACAATATTTGGCCGAGATACAACTATTTGAAAATCTGGAATCTGAGGGTGCAAAAAAATCTAAATATTGAGAAATTTGCCTTTAAAGTTGTCCAAATTAAGTTCTTAGCAATGCATATTACTAATCAAAAATGAAGTTGATATATTTACAGTAGGACATTTACAAAATATCTTCATAGAACATGATCTTTACTTAATTTCCTAATGATTTTTGGCATAAAAGAAAACTCAATAATTGTGACCCATACAATGTGTTTTTTGCTATTGCTACAAATATACCCCAGCAACTTAAGACTGGTTTTGTGCTCCAGGGTCACAAATGTCCAATCAGAACTAAGATCAGAACAGGGTTTATAAAAAGTGTTTTTATTAACAACATTTCATTCTATTTCTGTGTTTTTATGTCAGTGTCTCATTTCTTTTGACTATGAACATCATGAAAACCTACAGCTGAATGTGCGTCTGAGGTCAAAACTTTGGACAGAATGAAAGCAACTCACTGGGCTGCCCCTGGACATCAGGGTGCTCTTTCTGAAACTCCTCTTTCCTTTTGTCCAGCTCTTGTTGGAAATTCTCAAATTCCTCCTGGTACTTGTCCTTCTCCTCTTTGGGAATCTCTTTTTCTGGGGGAGGCTTTATAGAAAGACACAAAACACACATTCAAACCCACTCACGCACATAGACACACTTATGCATACTCCAATTATAATGAACAAGAGGAATGGAGTCAGAGGTGGACACTTATGAAATAAGTATGGCCGATTCTTTTTAATCATACTTAAATGTGTGTCCGCGACTACGAAATGTGTGGGGAGGAAAATGCGTACCAGATTCTGCCCAGGCTCGGTAAGTCTGAACAGCAAAAATGACAGAACGTCATGGTCATCTGTTGAAAAAGAAATTGTTTAGCCATATTTTTAAAGCTGCAGTGTGCAATTTCAGTACCACCTGCAACATCAAACATGTTTAAAAGTTTTAAACTCTTTCTTTCAGCTATAAATGCTATAAACGATTCATTAGATTACGTTTTATGGTTTAAAGGGACAGTTCACCCAAAAATGAAAATTCTGTCATCATTTACTCACCCTCAAGTTGTTCCAAACCTGTAAGAGTTTCTCTCTTCTGTTGAGCACAAAAGAAGATATTTTGGTGGTATTATCAACAAGAATGTTAGTAACCAAACAGCTGACGGTAGCCATTGACTTTCATAGTATGGGAAAAAAAAATACTATGGAAGTTAATGGCTACCAGCAACTGTTTGGTTACCAACATTCTACAAAATATCTTGTGTGCTCTTGAGGGTGAGTAAATGATGATAGAACTTTCATTTTAGGGATAACTATGTCTTTAATGGTCGAAAGCCAACTATTTTCTCGTTAGCTGACCCAGCTGAAGGATGGAAGCAAAGAAAACATAGGACTTTCGATCTGAAACTCTGAATTTGGTTATGTTTAAAGCATACCTGCAAGTCCTCCGGTGGCCGCAGAGATGCCAAAATAACCATTCTCAGGAATGATCATGTTTTCTACTTTGGTGCAGAACTCATAATCATCTTTATCAGGAGTGAAGCCGTTATTGATGAAAACCTGAAACCATTGAGAATATTCAGACGTTACATTATATTCAGATTTAAATTTTAACTCGTCTAAAAAATCTCTCAAATGAATTTAGGTAAGTTGGGCCTCTTTTTTGGTGAAATAAAAAACTCAAAATTACCAGTTGTACATGGCTCTATTGTTTTGACGTACAACGTAAGATTGACAGAAAGAAAATCATTCCACACATTTAACTCAAAATCTAGTACTTATTTTGTAATAATAATTACCAGTAATTACTCAAAAGATCAAATTATATTCGGTTCTTCAGAATTAATGTATGTTGAATCTTATTATTGGATGTATGATGATATAAACTTGACCTACCAATAAAGTTTTCTTGTAGTAGGCAATTTTGGCACGTACAGGGTAAGGTTTATTTCTAAAGTCTCTAAGACATGTACCCAGAGACTGGGTTGTGCCATCACTGGAGGAAAAATATGGTTTATCATATATGTAAACACAAAGACAACAACAACAAACGCTTCCTATTTATGTCAATAGGAAAAAACTAAATTAGTTTCTATTAAAATTTCCTTAATGACATAATCAATAAAAACATATCAAGAATGGGTATTTCTCGGTGTGTTTGCACAGTCTAGCACATATGCTGTTGACAGCTCTCCCACGCTGGCTCACAGATCTCCTAATTTAATCTGAGTGCAGTAACAGTGAAAGCATTAAGACAGACAGAGGATTACACTCTCATAAATAATCATATTTCCTAATCTACTTTCAGCTGTAAAAATGAGAGCACTGATGTCAGCAAGGAGGATAGGTTTACTTACTTTTGATGGTCAAAAATAAGTTTTCCATTGTTACCCACCACCAGGACAGCAGGGTTGTTTTTCTACAATAGCAAGGTCACAGAGAAGAGAGACATAATCCTTATTTAGTACAGAGGAGGCACAAAACAAATCTACTGAGGGACTTTGGTGTTTGTTCCTGAGGCAAACGCAAAACACATAATCATAATCCTTTGATAAATATATATTTAGCTCTACCTTAAGATGTTTTGACTTAAAAATGCACATAGTTCAAACACAAACATTATTGTGGCATTTTTCAGATACAATCAAATGTTCAAAAATACTTTTTTCAATGAACTAATGATTACAAATTCTAGGGCTGAAAAATGATTTAAAACAATCATGCAGATTAATCAAATATAAAAAAATGTATATCTATGATATCTTTAAAATGTTATATTATGAAGTCAGATGAGTAAAAACATTTAATATAAAAATGCCCTTTAAAAGTCTTAATTTCACTTTTTAATATTAGTTTTATTTAGCAAAAATGCAACTTGAGCATTTTTAAAAAAAATGCTTCATCCTAACTTATTAGCAATTCTGAATAACATTTGATACAGCTATAATCTAACAATTATTTAGAATTATATTATTTTTATACATTTAAATAAAAATTTAAATAAAATTCTAATAATTAAAATGCATTTGTTGAAAAATTATACTTGTGTGCAATCACCTTTCCATCATTATCAAAAGAATCAAAGAATATTCCCACGCCGTTCCACTGATCAGCAGCCCCGTACACAGGACCCTCCAGACCTGGACTGGCCGTGAACCATATGGCCTACAGAACACAGAAACACACACACACACACATCAGGCTTTCTTCAGTGAGCATGGGTAATTTGGTAAGTGGTGCTTGAGATCAGTGCGGTCTGCTCCACTAGACTGTGGGACAATTCAAAGAAAGCACATGTTACTTGCACAACACTACATTTTAATTGCTCATTCTAAACTGCAAATGCCGAACAACGTACGTGAATTTATGGACGCTTTTCCTGATAAAATGGTTTATTCTGTGCAAAAAGTAGTGCCTATGATGAGATGAAAACTTTAAACCTAATGACTTTTAAAATTCAAGAAAACCATATTTTGTACAAGTTAAAGTTCCTCTATTATGGATTTTTGAAAATGACCTTTCATGCAGTGTCTAACACAGCTCTAAGTGAATGAAAACATCCTGCAAAATTTCAAATCTGAAAATATTATAGTCTCTCAAAAGAAAGAGTCGACTCTGAATCATTGAAACGAGTCGTTTTTAAAACGAATCCCAAGCCGTTTCATGCTGACGTCAACATGAAACATTAGCATATTGCCTTCCGACTTGTTGGTCTTTTCGCATTGGTCTGAATGAAAATGCAAATTCATTCTTTGCCACTAGGTGCAGCTTTTAGAGCGGTAAAAATAACTGTTTTCCCAGTAACGCTGTACACAAAGCAGCACTGCGCTTACAAACGCTGCTTTATCAGGCATTACAGGCATGATGAAAATGAGACCGATCGGACCAATCACCGCAGATTAGTGTCACGCAAAGGAGGGGTTTGGAAAAATTAATCGTTGAGCGAATTGTTTGGGAGTCGTTGAGCAGGTAAGGTAAACAAAATAAGCTCATGATGAATCATAATGAACTTGAAATGCAAACCTACAATTTTATAGCTTGTGAAAAGTAATAATAGTAACACATAACTAAATGTGACTGTTGTTTGCCCATGCAAAACTGCTGCCACAATGCTAGGGTGTTCTGGGGGGTTGCCCGGTCATGACTATGCAGGTGTTCTGAGTAGCTGTTAGCTTATTTCTGTGCTGTTAGTAAAAAGTTGCCACCATCAAGTCTCTATGATTTTCTGATATCTAGACATGACTTCACAGGAAGTAGACACACTGCCCTTCTGCTTCACTGCTTCTGTTTTACATATGCTGTTTCACATACACTAACGGTCAAAAGTTTGGGATCAGTACGACTTGTAATGTTTTTAAAGAAGTCTCTTATGCTCATCAAGGCTGCATTTATTTAATCAAAAATACAGAACAAAACAGTAATCTTGCAAAATGTTATTACAATATAAAATAATGGTTTCTATTTTAATATCCCTTAAAATTAAATTATTTCTATGATGCAAAGCTGAATTTCCATCAGCCATTACTCCAGTATAAAGTGTCACATGATCCTTCAGAAATCATTCTAATATGCTGATTCATTATTAGAATTATCAATGTTGGCAACAGTTGTGCTGACAAATATTTTTTGGGATACTTTTTTCAGGATTCTTTGATGAATAAAAAGTGAAAAAGAACAGCATTTATTCAAAATATAAATCTTTTCTAACAATATAAATCTTTGCTATCACTTCTTATCAATTTAACACATCCTTGCTGAATAAAAGTTTTTATTTCTTTTAAAAAAAAACAAAGAATGAAAATGTACTGACCCCAAACTTTTGAACGGTAGTGTAGATTGTTAGAAAAGATTTCTATTTTAAATAAATGCTCTTCTTTTTAACTTTTTATTCATCAAAGAATCCTGAAAAAAAGTATCACAGGTTCCAAAAAAATATTAAGCAGCACAACAGTGTCCAGCACTGATAATAAATCAGCATATCAGAATGATTTCTGAAGGATCATTCTGAAGACTGGAGTAACGGCTGATGGAAATTCAGCTTTGCATCACAGGAATAAATTACATTTTAAATTATCTTTTTATTTAGTAATTTTAGTGCTTAAACTAAATCAAAATTAGAAATGTTGCCTTGGCAACTAACTAAAATAAGGTTTTCATTAAATTTTTCTATTTTGTTTTATTGAAAATAACAAACATGTTTTAACAGTTTTAGTTAATGGTTTAGGTTGATGTCATGTCATGAAATGGCTCATGAATATTAATTAGTTCATGGTCATTTACAACTGAGGTGGCAAACAGAATGTGCAACTCCAATTTTCAGAATTTTAATATAATATAGAATTATAGAATTAAAATGGAATGAAATTCAGAGAAAATAATTACTGTAACTGCAGTAAGTGTAATTTTTTCCCCCATTATTATGATCATTTTAGTGATCATAATAATATCTTATTGAATAAAGATACTTATCTTACAATATAAAACAGTTATTTTAAGTTGTAATAAAATGTTACAATAACAAGATTTTACTGTAGAGTAAAAAAAATCAGAATTGTGATAAAAAAGATTAATGGCAATGGCAATAACCTTTTTTCGTTGTAGAAATAAGCTTCAATACATAAAATACTTCAAAACCTTTTAAACAAAAAAGTGTACATACAAAGCAATTTATACACTACTTGTATGAATATGCACACTAGGTTTGTGATGGTGAGGAAATTTTCCCACCGGTTAATCGACATGTGACAACACCGGTATCACCGTGGGGGAGTTCCCTCTTTTCCTCGCTTTGCTTCGCTTTTAAATAGCTTGTAAAAGCCGCATGTGCATTTTACTTTCACTTTCAAATAGCGGCAATTCGGCGTAAAGCAATTGTTAATTTTTAGTTTGTTTGAATTTTCCCTCTTTTCCTCGCTTTCCTTCGCTTTTAAATAGCTTAAAAGCGCCGTGCGCATTTTACTTTCACTTTCGAATTAGCAGTTTGTCATCAATTGCTTGAATGCAACAACAAAATACAACGTCAAACTCACTTTAGCCTATATATAAAACATAGAACTTTTATTAACAAAACGAATAAAAATACACCATGCTATAGGGCAGGTTATGCCTAATATAAAATAACTTACATAAAGTTTAAATAGGTATACAAAAATGGAAACAGGCTAAGTAAACATGTATAATATATAACCAAATAAATAAGAAACGTAGAACGTTTATTAGCAAAACGAGTAAGAAAGATTGGCGGCACAGCATACACCTTGATGTAAAAACTAAAATAAATGACACAAAGTTTAAATAAAGTAAAAATCAGCAAACAATGTGGAACCAATTAAATAAGAAACGAATGTTTAAAAAACCTTCCAAAATCACCTTAGATAAACGGCAAAAGTCAACAGGCTTTTCAAAATCCAAAATATTGCCAAACAGGCGCTTTTGCATCTCGTTTCGAAACCAAATCATCCACGATCGTCTTGTCTGTCTCACCTCACCTCACTCTTCTTGTCAGTCAGCTCGACTCACTCTCCTCACTGGAGAAATGAAATCTGATCTGTGATGCAACTGTCGTTCGGCACGCTGCATTGAGCAGTTTTTAATTGTAGTGTCTGTTCTTTTACTGAACTAAATGAACCTACTATAAAAAATCTAAACGACGATGGGGGTCGGTGCCACGGTGGGCAAGTGACATAACCGGTGTTGAGGTTTAACACCGGTATCACCGTCAGCACCATCTATCGCGGCAAGCCTAATGCACACTGGAGAAACCAGGGTTAAATGCTCAACTTAAGAACTCAAAAGGGTTCTATCAATAATAATTTAGCTCACAGATCACACCGATCTGGGATTCAACCTGTGACACAAGTCCAAGACTGCCATACCCCTAAAAGGGTCAACATGACCCTCAACTGTCATTAACATAACAATTTGAGTCTGTGCTTCTATACGTTTACAACTGCCTATAGCCACAAATGCAGAAATAAGGCTCACATATATAAATAAATAAACAGTTCTTTCATATAATATTTATTAGATTAATACTAAGAATTATTTCCCCCCTTCTTACCAATCCATCTGCTCCCATTCGTCCTCGTCCGGACACACGGAATGCCACTTCAGCTTCCCAGTGTTCAAAACTTACAGGGTTTTTTGTCCATACCGAACCCTTCTGGCTTCGCAGAGAGGGGGTGATTCGGATCTGATCTGAACTAGGAATGGCATCTGGAGAGAAGATGGAAATGGGAAAATGCATGAATTAGAAAATTAGTTTCCCCAATTTATTTTTATTAAAGGGTTGTTTCTCAAAACCAGGAGTTTCTGAGCATTTGTCAGTTACCAAAGCCATCAGTATCTCTTAT